GCAGAGATCACATGGAGAGCCACGAAACAAGAGATTTAGAAACTAGCCTTGCCCTTTTTTGCAATAACACACTCTTTGGGGACTCAAGGGGACCCTTCTAGTAACATCTCTGGGACCAAACCACCTTCCACTAGGCCCCAGCTTTTAAAGCTGTACCCCCTTTCCACACTGCTGCATTGTGTCCAGTTTTCTAGCATATGAAATGTTTGGGGAAACACCTAAACCATATTTAAACTACAGCATTATCATACAACTCTCATTAAATAAAATTAATTTCAACCTCACTAAGAAACTTAAATCTATACCATTCTGTTTAGGTGAAAATTTTCCTAATTATTAATTTTGGTGCCTATAAACAACCCCTTCATTATTATACGATAGTTTAATGTAGTGCTTTGAAAATATGAATGCAAACTGCTTGATAATCTTCCCTCCTTTCAAAAGACAAGAGTCAAATCCTTTTCCCTTTCAGTGTGAAGTTGGATTTATTGACTCTCTTCTAAAGAAGAGAACACAGCAAGAGCAACTAGACCAGAGGAGACATCGTGTTCATTCTCGTCTTTCCCCTCTCCTCTCTCCCCTTTCCTCTGAGCCCTCACCCCTTATCCACTCACTCTCCATCTCTGACCTCTTGCTCCAGATGAAGACAGTCCACCATGGCATAAGGTTGTTCAAAGATACCTGTGAGGAGAAAATGTCAATCAGCAAAAAAGGAGGCATTCTTTCCCTGTAATCTGAGTGAAATATCTTACAATGGGATTCTCTAGCCCCAGTGAAAGCCAGTTAAGTTTAAAGTGACCCCATCCAACTTTTGTCTTAACTGAGGCCACACTTATGTGAAACCTGAGCCAAAACCACCTGGCTAAGTCATTCCAAATTCTTTATTGATGGAAAGTATGAGATAATGAACCTTGTTTTGGCCTGTTCAATTTCTTGTGGGAGGTATTTTTTTTAATGTTCCAATAGGGGACTCAGAAAATATATTTTACTACTATTCTCATATGTCAGAAACTTTCTTAAATGTAGTTTCTCAAACTATTTGAAATCTATGAACCCCAGACCATTTCAGTATCATTGTTTTACAAGTAGTTTGAATAAATACAGAATGACAGAACTTTGATGGTACTGTAGTCTGCCAACTAAAAGGTATAAACATTGTTAATAATCCAGAAAGATATTTGTTGCTATGTGTCCTAGTTTGTTTCTCCATTGCTGTGACAAAATACTCTGCCCAATACCAACTTGGGGAGGAAAGGGTTTGTCTTACATCTCCCAGGTCGCAGTTCATCAGGGAGCCCAATGTAGAAACACAGGGCAGGAACCTGGAGGCAGGACCTGGAGCACAGGCCATGGAGGAATGCTGCTTACTGGCTTGCTCCCCTGACCCCTGCTCATCCTGCTTTCTTATGCAACACAGGCCCACCTGCCCAGGGGTGGCACCACCCACAGTGGGCTGGGCCCTCCCACATCACTCAACAATCAAGAAGATGCCCCAAAGACATGGCCACAGGCCAGTTCAATGGAGGAAATTCCTCAATTGAGGCTCCTTCAATCCAGGTGTGTCAAGCTGACGCTAAAGCTATCCAGCACATTATGTCTTCCTATAATTGAATCTGCCTCTTATTTTTGTTTTACCAAAATAGTTATTTTTCTTACTAAAGGTCTAAATTTTTTAGAGCAATTATAATATGCAACCAAAAAGATAAAACCATGCTAACCCATACCCATATCATCTTGGTGTATTCCAACCTATTATATCTTTATTAATACATAACTAAAACAGGAAGCTCATATTGTAGATACTTTAACATGAAATTTTAATGCCACTTAATATCTACTTGTAGTAGAACTGTAAATAGTCCAATTCTAATCTCTTCTTTTAAAAATATGTGTATAAGTATATTGCCTTCATATACGTAGGTACACTCATGTCATTCAACAATGCCCACAGAGGTCAGAAGATGGCATCGGGTCCCCTGAAACTGAGTTACAGTGGGTTGTTAGCCACCAGGTAGATGCTGGGAATCCAGCTTGAGTCCTCTGCAAGAGCAGCCAGTACTCTTAACCACTGACCCATCTCTTCAGTCCCCTAATCTCTTTAAAAAAAAAAAAAATCTGAGCTTTTGTACATTTCATACAACAGTTTTTAACCAGATAAGGGCTTAATCTCTTTTTATATTGCCTTTTTACATTTTAAATATTTTATTTTTATCTTATGTGTATGAGAGTACTGTCTGCATGTGTGAAGTGCACCCAATCATGCAATCATGCAATGCCCATGGAAGTCAGAAGAGGGTGTCAGATCCCCTGAAACTGGAGTTACAGACTGTTTCTAGCTGACATATGGGTGCTGGGGATCAAACTCTGGTCCTCTGCAAGAGCAGCCAGTGCTTGTAACCACCGAGCCACTCTCCAGCCCCTTATATTGCCTTCTTATATTGCCTGTAGATCAACTTACTGGTATATTTTCACAGCTGCTTGTGGAAAACATCCTCTTCTGCCCCATGCTCATGTTGATCAAATATAGCATTAAGGTTGCATCATTTGTCTACTCTCAAGAAAACCTAAATATGTATAGTCTATCTCTACCCATCTTGCCCTGTGAGATCTGGCTCCTCTCCACTTTCAGCCCTCATTTCTTATCACTTTCACCATGCCCAGTTGGCTACCTAGCTTGTTATCTGGGCTGCAGGCTCAGCTCTGCCTGAAAACTTTCCTCCCAGATAGTCACACATGGCTCACTCCTTAGCTTTTCAATTCTCTCTTCAAAGGCCAGTTCTTTAAAAAGGATTCTCTTCTAGGGAATTAAAAAAAAAAAACCCTAATCTATAGTAGGCTATAGTAATACTCGAGTTTTTAAAAAGTGTCATGACATTATATATTTGCTTCATTATCTGACACTGTATATTTTTTTAATCTACTGTTTGTCTTCCTAAACTATAATGCCCACCTTAACAATGCAGGGATTTTTCCTGGCTTATGTAACAATCTCTCCATATTGTTTAAAATTTTATCTAGGGGGCTGAGTCCATGGATAAAGCATGAAGTCAGGAATTCAGATCGCCAGTACCTACATAAGATGGGACACGTGGAGACTATAATCCCAGCATTTAGGAGGCAAAGAGTTTCTTCAAGGCAAACTGGCTACACAGACCAGCTGGAATTGGAAAGCTCTGGGTTCAGTGACAGAACATTTCTCAATAAGTCAAATGAAGAGCAGTTGAGGAAAACACCCAATGTCAACTTTAGACTTCTACACACATGTATGTACACCCACATACATGTGAATATGCACATCACATGCACATACACATGTAAAAAAGACCCACTATCTGCCCCAAGATAGGTGATCAGAAAGTATATTTTAATTACAGGTCTATATTATGTTATTTAACAATCAGTAAATTTGATAGATTTCTGCCAGTTTTTCCTATTGTGGGCAATCAGGCATAAGCATATGCGTAGTGTACAAACTCTAAGCATGTGTAGGGTACAAATGTTATATTTGTTTCCTAAGACTCAAGAATTTAAAAATAGATCCTTCTTACAGTTTTGATAGAAATTAGCAAACTGTTTTAGATAAAAAGTGTTATAGTTTTACATCATTGCTTATGTGAGAGCTACTTTTTTTCTCACCTCAAACAACAACCTACATCTCCCCTCTGAAAGATTTTCATTTATTATTTTGTTTTGGTCTTAGAAAGGGTCTCACCCTGTAACTCAGGCTGGCAATCCTCCTGCCCAGTCTTCTAAATGCTGAGATTACAGGTCTGAGCCACTACACCTGGCCAAGATTACCACTCTAGTGGATGAAAGGTGACTGGGTATATAACATGTTTTAATTACAATAGGGCATATGATTATTATTCATGTTTTTTTTAAATTGCCTCTTCATGTCTTTTACTCATATTTCTACTGATTTACTATTTTTCATTAGCAAAATACATTAAAGATAATGTTCCATTGTCTAAGCCCTGCTAAAATTTCATTTTTTTTTTTGGTTTTTCATGTTATTATTTTTTCTCTGTGACTTTGACATGTGAATTTATTTTGTCGTTTATGGTTCTTGTGTGAGACTCAAGCCTTCCTTTTGAGTTTAGGTCTACTTCTTCTTGTAAACTTTATGTGATATATATGTCTTTTTGAGACAGAATCTCCCTGTAGCCCCAGCTGGCCTGGAGCTCGCTTCGTAGACCAGGCTGGTCTCGAACTCACAGAGATCCACCTGCCTCTGCCTCCCAAGCGCTGGGACTAAAGGTGTACACCACCACGCCCAGCTTCCCAATATTTTTTTTTAAACAAGGAAAACAGTGTATTACAGCTGGAATTTGAAAGTAATGGCTTTTACTGCTTTGCTTCCCACTTAACTGTTTACCCAGGTATGATTCATTCTTTCCCCACTGACAGGGATGAGAAAACCGTGAGGTGCCACATTTTTGTATTAAAGGTCATTCCCTTTCTCCCTTCCTCTCACTCCCCTTTAAAAACAAAAGCCCTTCCTTCAGCATACTGAGAAATATAAATTCTTTTACTACCATGTTCAGTAACATATTTGATATTAGTTGTCTAGTGCTTTGATGCTAGCATTCAAAGAATACCAGATACTTATCATGACTCAGCAGGTTTTGCTAATGGTACAATATATTTTAATTTAAGAATGTCAAGTAAGGGTTCACGTCTTTTTAGGGTCATATGTCAGGGTTCTCTTCTGAATCCCTCGGATTCTAAGAGTCCAGTGGGGAAGAAGGCACACGGGAAGAAGCCATGCAAGAGGTAGTCAGATCCAACAGGCCTCAACAGCCCAAGAGACTAATGAAAACAGGTAGTGGGGTGCCTCAACAAAAGTCCGTTGTTAACAGGGAGTTTGATTTTGAATGACAAATTGAGATTTTGGTATCCAGAGTTATTTAGATACATCAAGAAAAAAAAAAAAAGACAGAAAACTATAGTTGTTTTGTGGCTTTTAAAAAAGTAAAACACTTAATTCCTAAGCCATGGAGGGCAGTCTGTATTCGCGTGTGGGGTTTCTTTACTGACTTGGAACTTTGCTAGTGCCTGCTCTGGGGGTCCACAGCACCTTGGCAGGACCTAATAATAGATTTTATCCCAAGACCAAGAGCGGTAGACGAAGCTCTTATAGCTTCAACCTCTACAGGTTAAAGGAGAGGGACCTCGGGGTGAGGGTCGTTTCCCGGCAGTGCAGGGAATCGCTGCACGGAGCTTCAGCATCCCCGCAAAGGGAGGAAACAGCTTCGCCCCGTCTGGTCCAGGCCACACCTCTGTACTGTGTTTCCTCTACCTAGAAGCATCCTCCCCGCTCCTCCCCAAGGCGCGTCTCCCTAGCAACCACACTGGGCGGGTGAACGGAAGCGGCTGAATCACGTGCTCGAGGGCTTCCGGGTGCCCATCGTGACTTCCGGTTGTCAGAGTCCCGGACGCGGGGCGGCCACTCGGGGGACGCGGCTCGGGCCTGGGCTCCGGAGAGCCAGCCTCGGTAGGCCTTGTCTTCCGCGGCCGAGATGCATCCGCGGCGTCCTGACGGATTCGACGGCCTGGGCTACCGAGGAGGCTCCCGGGACGAGCCGGCCTTCGGCGGCCCCTTCCCCGCGCGTTCCTTCAGCTCCGGCGCCGATCTGGGCCACTGGGTTACGACGCCCCCGGACATCCCGGGCAGCCGGAACCTGCACTGGGGCGAGAAGAGCCCGGCGTACGGTGTGCCGTCCGCGTCCACGCCGCACGAGGGCCCCGCGGAGGAGCCCTTTCCCGGCGGCGGCGATTGCCCGCGGCCAGGCCCAAGCAGCGGTGAGGGACGTGGGGGCCGGGGGCGGGGGGGCCTGCGGAGCCCGGAAGCCGCGTGCAGGGCCCGCCCTGTCCCTCGCGCCACACCCTCTGTCCTCCTCCGTCCTCTGCCCGGCGGGTCTTTCTGCACGCCTTGTGCGCGCTGGGACCTCCTACCGGAATGACATCTGCTTTAGCCTAGGATGCAGGCAGGCAACCTCAGGGTCTGCTGTGTTACAGCCTTGGGCCTGAATCAGGAAAGAATGAAATTGGGTTGTTTACTGTTGCCCGCTTCACTTTGGAGTTTCTTGATTGAATTAATTTATTCATAGCATTGTGCTGTGGAAGAACTTTTTTAGCCTGGGCAGATTTGGGTTCAAGCCTAGTTCAGGACCATTTAACATTAACATCCCTACAGTTTTTTTTCACTTTGGTTTGCGTTCCTTCTGACCTGAAAACCCCACTTAGAAACACTGATAAAATCTCAAGATGGGACTTTATAATCGAGACATAATTATTTGTAGAATGTCCAAGGAGCTTTCTTTTAACTGCATGAGCTACATACTCTCAACGTCCATTTTAATCATAAAATATAAATAACTGCCTATTCTCTGGGAATAAACAGATCAGCAGTTATCATACATTATACACCAGTGTTATGCTTATTTCCTCAGTTTTGACTTGGAAGTGCAATAATATTTGACCTCAAGACCTGCGGTGATTATAAGGGGAAGGAGGGTCAGTGACCAGTGTCACACACTAGCTTTTGTACTATAACCCAGTTCTTAATTTCATTGCGTTATACTGGTCCCAGAACAGTCCTGGAAAGCTTTTTTTTAATGGAAGTTATAAAATGAATGATTCAAAATGCCTGTAAAATTGTACAATTACCTTCATGGGCAATAGAGTTTTTTTGTTTTTGTTTTTGTTTTTTTTCCTAAATTATATTTTGATAGTTCCAGTGAGCAGAAACTTACTGACAAGAAGTTTATTTTGAAGCTGTTCCAAGGAGAACCCTTGAGAAACGACACAGCAACATTAAACTTTCCTAACATCTAGAAATGTCAGGAGGTTTCCTGGCTTATTTGGGAGAGGTCTGTACATACAAAAAGAGGAGGAAAGTACTTCAGTGTGGCAAAGAAGCTTTCTGTATAACTTGCACATCTTTCAAGATGAACTACACAGTTTCCCCAGGAAACTCATGTGCTTCCATGGCCTGTTGTCACTGTAATGGAGTAATAACTCATTGCTGCATTTGAAAGGATGGAAGGAATGAGGGAAGAAGAAAAATAATGTTTTGTGAATATTGATATTTGATGTTTAGTCTCCAGGCTAGTTTATAATTATGGTTTTTGGATTCTTTACTCAGGAGAAAGGCTCTTGTATTTTGATATATAGTGTTTCCAGATGGGAACTTTCCAGTAATGCTGCAGAAGTGCCATTCAGTAATAGCATGTGTGTCCGTAGGATCTTCTCACAAAGACTGAATTATCCAGCTCCTCTCAAAGGCATTTAAAGTTGGAGGTCATAGGGGACACTGTTGGCCTATACCACTGACCCTAAGCACTTTTTCCTAAGGCACTTGTAACTATCAGTTTATTGAGCTACCCAACAGTAGTACTGAATAGCTAATTTTAAAGCACAAGCAGTCAGGTTCACAGTGTATCAATCATGGTGATCCATGAAAAAAATTTTTAAATAATTGCAATCAGAATTTAAAAGTGGTACTGCTTATGTGTAATTTGGATCCTTGTTTGATACGGTCTGTACTGTTTCAGCACTTTTTCAAATAGTTGCCATTGATGGTAATTTAAAATTTAAATTGTTGTTTTTTGAGACAGGGCCTCCCTGAAGCCCCAGCTGACCTGTAGACCAAGCTAGCCTCTCTCTCACAGAGAACCACCTTGCCTCTCTCTGCCTCCTGAGAGCTGGGATTAAAGGTGTGCTCTTCCCCCATGCCCAGGTTTTAAATATTTTTAATAAAGATGAGAGTACTTGTTTTTTCAAAAACAGACACAACTAGAAATATCTGGCCCACCGGCCCTTTTGATAAAATCATTGAACAAACAGCTACGTCTTTAGAGAGCCTTACCTTGTGACTAGTCATAGCTCCAATAGTCATTCACATAGCCACCTTGCCTCCTTCACTCATATTCAGTGTGAGGTTTAAATAAGCAGCATGTAAGTATAAAAATCCTCTGTTTTCACAGGAACTATAAATATTGGTATGAGTAATCTTATTCCTTTTATTTTAGAACAGCTGAATAGATTTGCTGGATTTGGTATTGGACTTGCAAGGTAATATTTTTTCTAAAAATGTTTTAAAATTTAGAGTTTTTTCCTTTAATTATAATATTAAAATGATTAGTGTTTCTTTGCTTAGTGTTTTAAAACATGTTAATTTTGTAAGAATTCATCGTTATTTAAAATCTGTAATTGATTTTCTTCCAGTAGGAGAAGGTATCAGTCATTCAATGTCATAAATACAAAATAATTTTGTAATGACTATTATAGCAACTTTTGTGACTCTGTCTGAATAGAAGGTAATCTTTTTCTCCTCAAAAATTGTCATGGACACAAATGATGAATGACAATGGACTTAATGCCAAAACCTCGTGTTGCAGTGCAATATGCTGCTGAAAAAAAAGAAGTCATGGTGCCAGGCATGGTGCCACATGCCTTTCACGCCAGCACTCAGGAAGCCAGCCTCATCTACATAGTGAGTTCCAGGCCAACTGGGGCTACAGGAGAGACCCTGTCTCAAAATAATCAAGAAAATGTAGTGGAATAGTGAGCCTTCGCTCTAAACATAGGCATATCTAAACATGTGAATGCTACCAAGAGAATTTTGGAGCACAGCAACCAGATCGTGCCCATAGTCATCATTTGATGGTCAGTTTTCTGTTTTGTTTTTGTTGTTTAATTGTGGTCATTTGCGCTAACTACCTTCATCAGTCTTAATTATGGTATTATGAATATGAACTTCCTAGATAATTGAATTTGCACAATGCTTATCTTTCACACCAGAATGATTTTGAACATATATGTTTTAAGCATATATGTATGTATTATATATAGATAGAAATATATATATATATATATTTTTTTTTTTGGTCTTTTTGAGATGGGGTCTCTCTGTAGCCCTGGCTGGACTGGAACTCACTGTGTAGGCCAGGCTGACCTTGAACTCACTGAGATCCGCCTGCTTCTGTCTCCAGAGTGCTGGAATGAAAGGCATGCGCCATCACGCCCAGCTTATTTGTATAAATAAATCTGAGGATGTTAGTATTAATATAAATAAAATTTGTGGTTTCCATTATGCTAGTTATGCTAGTTAATCTTTTTAGCCTCATTCTTTCTTCTTCAATCTTTAGACCATTTTATATAATATTAATATATGTGAATATGTATATGTCATTGTTAGAGCTTAAACATCAGTTGCAATTATTTTCTAAGGTATGTTTTAAAAAGAAATATTTAGTACATAAAGTAGTAATTAACAAGGTCATTTAAAATTCTTTAACTTAAATTACATCAAAATAAAAATTTTTAGAATGAGTATTTTGAAGAGCAGATGACTATTCAGATAGGAATTTTGTTCATAGGACATTTTCTGAAGGAAATGTAGATATATGGTTTCCCCTGTTTATAAGTATGTAAATCTAGTTTTTGCTTCTATTAATTTTTTTATTGGTGGAATAATTTGCATATATTGCAAATAAAATTTGTCTATAGACATACATGTATATATGTATTTTATTTCTATGTTAGTCTATTTACAGAAAATGTACTGGCCCATCCTTGCATTGTTCTACGCCGCCAATGTCAGGTAATAATAATTTCTGGGACCTTCTGAGACAATATTGAACCTTTTTAGAAGTACAGAATTTTGATTAAAATGACATGGAATTTTGTACTTACTAATCTATGTGAAATACTTAAAAATCTGTAATGTAGCAATTCTCCAACATTTTATTCATAATCCTGAAAACCCTTTCTTTATCTGGGTCATATCTCTCTGTATTTACTGTTTCAGGAATTCATACTGGTAACAGTTTTGATCTAGTTATCTTTAAAATAATTCAGCAAATGTTAAATAATATTTATGAAAAATAACCATTTTACGCTTGATATAATCGGCACCTGCTTTTCATACCCGCTTTTCTAGTCACTCTGTTCTAGAATGGTGTTTTGAAAGAAACAAGAGTATGCAGCCTCCTGCACATTATGTCAGAAAACCAGGAATATTTTTATCTTTTTCAGATAATTGTGTTTCCTGAAGTTACACCAAAACTCACTAAGTGGTGGTTTCTTAAAGGTTATTTGCAATGTGAGATCTGAAACAGTGTAAATTTTTTAAACATGTTATTCCATTAAAAAAAAAAAACCTCCATTGATTTGTAATGCTTATTGAATGGTTATTTATACCCACACAGGACTCTCTATCATCTTATAATGGCTACTTTATGTTCTATGTCTTCAGTGTTAAAATATTAAATTTTAAATGATCAAAAATTCATTTTTATTGAAACAACTACTTATTTCACCAGAAAAGCCTTTAATTACTGTATGCGCTTGATGGTGGTTGTACATTCTTCCAAATTATTTTGTTTTAGAGTACATTGTACAATACAGTGGGTTTCAGTATGTTATTTCCATAGCTATATGCCATGCCCTTTGATCATAATCATCCCATTACCTTTCTTCCCTCTCTACTTCCACTGGTCACTTTCTTATTCCCAAATAGTTCACTTGACACTTGTGTCTCTCTCTTCTTTAAACTAGATTGTGCATATGAGAAAGTGTGATATGTGTCTTCTTCCTGAGTCTGGCCTGTTTTGTTTAGCCAGATCTCTAGTTCCTCTTGTTCTTCACGGCTAAGTGTTAATATTCTGATGTGTACATAGACCACGTGTTCTTTAGTCATCTGTTGATGGGCATCTGGACTGGTTCATAATTCAGTTATTGTGAAAAGTGCTGCAGTCTAAATGAGTGTGCAGATCTCTGTTGTGTGCTGATTTAAGTTTTTTTCTGGTACTATCCCAGCAGGTATAGCTGAATACTTATAGTAGCTCTATTTTTAGTTTTCACGAAGAATCTCTGTGCTGGTTTCCATAAGAGACCGCGCTAACTTATATTGCCATCAACAGGGAATATGAGTTCGTTTTTTCTTACAAACTGCCCAGTGTTTGTTTTTATTTTCTTGATGATAGGAATTCTTACTGGGATGAGACAGTATTTCAATATGGCTCTGAATTTACATTTCCCAGATGACTAATGATGTTAAATATTTTTTCTTATATTTATTTGCTATTTATACTTCTTTTGAAAACTGTTTATTCCTTTTTCCACCTACTTATTGGATTATTTTGGGATCTTGGTGTTTAATTTTTTAGTTCTTTCTGTATTCTGGATAGTTAATTCCCTGTCAGATTAATAGGGACTTTCCCATTCTGTAGGCGATCTGTTTACTCTGTTGTTTACTTTTCTGAACCGAAGCTTTGTAATCATGCAATCTACTCATCAGTTATTGCTTTTCTTTCCCAAGTTATTGAAGTCTTTTTCACAAAGTTTTTGCCTTTGCCTATATCTTAACGTATAGTCTGTGTGTTTTCCTTGAGCAGGGTCAAAGTTTTAACTTACATTAAGGTTTCTGACTTACTCTTGAAACCCAAGTTGACAACAAAAATTGATTTTGTTTGTTTCTTTGTCCTACGTTCTAGTCTTAGTACTGGGAGGCTGGTATGGGGGAGGTATATATCCTACGTGGGAAACCTCTAATTTGCCATAGAATTCTTAGAAAAAAAATCATGTTTCATATAAAATAATAGTGGCTAAGTAACTTGCTTTCTCATCATGTAAGAGTTTATGTAACCACAGAATGTTAAAAGATGGTATAAACTTGTGGTTCAGGATTTCACAAAATTAACATTTTTCAGTGCTTCACCAAAGATACTCTTTGAGGAAGATTCTTTTTTCTTCCTATGAATATCTATAGTGAAGAATAAAATAAATTCAAAAAAAGTAATTTGCTGCCGCTGCCTTGATTCATGAGGAAGAGCCAGCAGTTTAATTCATCCTTGGTTTTGTACCATTAGTGCAATATCAAATGATGCCTTAGCATCAGTAAACTAATTTAAACTTGTCAGTCCTCTGGAAGGATGTTGGAGCTCTCAGCCGTCACTGACCTGCACTGTAGTAAATGCTGCTGGTATAGAACTCACCCTTTTCTCAAAATAATTTATTCCACATAGCATCAAAACAATAGTAATCAATAGAAATTAATCCATTCATATTTGTCACTGAAAAATAAGCATGCATGGAGAAGTAACTAGTTAAAGCATTAGAAGTATAGATGCCGCAAACAATATAATTCATTTTGGGGTGATACTACATTGTGATTTAGTTTACTTCATTTTGACCTTTTGAGTGGATTTCATAACTTATTCATTAATTGTAACCTTAGTTTAAAAAACATTTGTTCAAGGTGAGTCTGAATAGGATGTTTAATTTCAGAGTTTAAAAACCTCAGATGTCAAACTGTGGGATCCTCTTTATTATCTAGTCTTTATCACTCCGTGGATTATGCACTGGTCTGCATAGTCTATCACCATATGTGCTGTACTTTTAATGGCTTATTTGAAGCACTTATTATTTAGAATTTAACTTTTGTTTATGCTGTAACTCTACGTTCCTGACCTCGTCATTTCTTGACAAACAAAACAGAAATATGTTGTTTTACAGGTTAATTACCATGCTCGACATTACCATCTTACTCCATTTACAATTATCAACATTATGTATAGCTTCAACAAAACTCAGGTAAAAATTAGTCTATTCTGTTACAGCTGTACATATTTGAATTTGCTAATCATTAAAGTAAGAAGAATTCATTTTAATTTGGTTTATAAAAGTAATGTAGCATAGTAATATTATCTTTTTGAGTGTTCCAAGAATTTATCAACAATTAAGATAACGTCTGTAGTCTCAGGAGCCTTATAATTTAGTCATAGAGACAAAAAGAGCAGATTATGGTGCAGTGGGCTACAATATTAGAAGTATAGAATGCTGTCAGTAAGTCAGTGGGAGATGCCTTGTCAAAACTGGTGTATTAGTTTTCTCACTGCTTTAACAAAATCCCGACAAAAACATCTTAAGGATGGAAGGGTTTGTTTTGATTCAAAATTTGAAGCAATAGTCTATCTGTCCTGGCAGGAAAGGCCTGGAGGCACAAGCTTGAGGTAGCTGGTCACATGAGTCCACAGTCCAGAAGCAGAGAGAGACAAATGCCTTGTGCTCAGCTTGCTGTTTCCTTTTGGCCTTTTCTTCAGCCATAGGATGCTGCTGCCCATATTCAGTATAGATTTTCCCTGTTCAGTTCAATCTCTCTAGAAAACTCACTATACACACATCCAGAGGTGTGCCTTCTAAGTCATTCTAAATCCGATCAGGTTGACAGTGAAGACTAACGACCACAGTTGGGGTTGAGCACAGAGAATGGCTTGGAAAACCTTCGGAAAAAGAGATGCTGGCTTATATACTTGTGTTCTGACTTGTCAGGAAGTCTACTTAATGCTGAAGGTAAAGGTTTTATAAGTATGTGCTCAAAGGCAAAAGAGAAAGAGAGATTATAATATTGGGGGATAGACATAATGCAGTACAGTAGTGCTTGTAGCAGAGGTTGAGGAGTAAGAAAAAGATGGAACGAGAGTTAGAACAGTAAACAATCATAAAAGGCCTTGTGTGGTCTGCACACTTGTTCTTAAAAACAAAAGAACCATTGAAGATGTTTTAGCGGTGGCTAAAGTGTTGTGGACACACTTAGGTTGTTGGGCAGTGTCCATGAACTTAAAATTTGTGTGCCTTAGACTTCTAGGAACTTTTTCTGTCTTTTTTTAATTTAATTTTATTTTATTATTTTTTTAAGTGATGTTATTCCCATGGAGGTCAGAAGAGGGCTTTGCATTCCCCTGGAACTGGAGTTAAGGATGGTTGGTAGCCACCATGTGGGTGCTGGGATTCAAACCCAGGTCTTCTGCAAGAACAACCAGTGTTCTTAACCGCTGAGCCATCTCTCCAGCCCCTAGGAACTTTCTACATAAGTGGGGTGTGTGTCTGTGTGTGTGTGTGTATGTGTGTGTGTGTCTGCAAAAATGTATATGCAAAGGTGTCAACGAAACTATTGCACATAATGAGCTAAGAAATTATCAGATAACTAACAAGAGGGTACCCGTAAAATAACTGATTATTTGTGTGCTAAAAGACCAGGTGGCCTTTAAAAATAAGAAGCAGCCTCTGTATGTACTGACATGAAATGATCTTTGAGTTTTTTATGGTTCAAGATTGTTACATCTGTTAAAAGTTAAAAAAAAGGGGCTGGAGATATGGCTCAGCGGTTAAGAGCACTGACTACTCTTGAAAAGACCCAGGTTCGATTCCCAGCACCCACATGGCAGCTATGAACTGTCCTTAACTCCAGTTCCAGGGGAATCCAAAGCCATCTTCTGACCTCTGCAGCATTGCACAACATGGGTGCACTCACATACATGCAGGCAATACATTCATACACATAAAATAAAAATAATTTTTTAAGTGAAAAAAAGGAAAAAATCTGAACATCTTTCCACGCACACAGATATATGCATGAACAATCTCAGGAAAATGGAAGGGGACAGGGGTGAAAAGGAAACAATTTTCTTTTGATACTCTGCTTCTTTTAATCTTACTGTGTTGATATTATATTTATTCATTCATAACATACAGGTAAATAATGAGAGTAATATCATTTACCACTAACAGAATTATGGAAAGAAGCAAAGCTAAATCCAGTGAAACTGCTGTAACGTTAGATTTGTGTGAGTAATGACATGAGGGCAGAGGAAGGAGCATGGCTTTGTAAGAGGCTTGGAGAAGTCTACATACAGCTGGCTGAGCAGATAAGAATGAGAACTCTATGATTTGGGTACAGGAATGACAAAGCCGCTATTAAGGGGAACAGGAACTTAAGCAGAGAAGGAAAAGAACTGTGATGAGAGTGCATCTGATTGCTCTCGGCTAGGGAAATACAAACTTTGAGATACCAATAGGTCATCCAACCAAATAGCAAGACTAGTAGGAGTTGATTAGATGGATGCTAGAGGTGTTCAGTAAGTAGTCATTCTGGAATACCAGTCATCTTGGCCTAAACTAGGCTACCAATAAGCGTGAATGCTAGAGGCAGTTGTGGTGGTACACTTCTGTAATCCCAGTACTTAGACGCATGGGAACCAGGAGTTCAAGACCAGCTTCAACTACATAGGCATGTGAGGCCAGCCTTAAATGAAATCTTGTGGGAAGAAAATAAAACCAACAACAGAAAGATAGAAATCAATTTATAGTTCTGTAAGATTTCTATTAGAATAATATCTTATTAGAAAATATTAGCAAATAATATTAACTTGTATTAAGATCTTTTATATTTCATATTTAGGCATTAACATAAGTAATTTGTTTGTTTTTATTTTAGGGACCAAGAGCCTTGTGGAAGGGAATGGGAAGTACATTTATTGTCCAGGGAGTCACGCTTGGAGCAGAAGGCATAATTAGTGAATTTACACCTTTACCAAGGTACTTTCGTGGCATTTTTTCGGTGATAGTTTCATATTAAAATTTTGGTTTGTTTTGTTTGAGAATTTTATACAGTGTACTTTTATCATACTTAACTCCCCTCCCCCATCTCTTCCCAGACCCACCCCCCTCTCCAAGCCCCCCAACTTCATGTCTTTTTTTTAAGCCCATGGAATCCAATTTGTGTTCCTCAAATACTCTTGCATCTGGGACCTCCCCTGGCCCAGTAATTGTGACAGCATTCACAAGACCTGTATAAGCTCAAGCCAGGAGCTATTGGCAGTTGAAAGCTGCTGGGAGAGGGAGAGTCAGTTTTCATATTAAATTTTCATAAAATATGAACACTCCTAAATACCTTGAATCTGAAAAGTTGCCTGAAATAGCTAAGAGTGAGACAGTCACTAAAGCTCTTACTGCGTAGCCATGGCCTAGAACCTACTGTGTACATCAGGCTGGCCACAAACTTATAGAAGCTGCCTGCTCTGCTTTCTGAGCACTGGGACTAAAGCCTTATGCTACCATGCCCAACCTTAAAGCTACGTTATTAATTCTACCTTGCTGAATGAGTAACTGGTACAGAAAGTACTTCACATTCTGGTGTCTGTTGAGATGTGTCTTTCACCAGGACCTGCAGCTAAGTAACAAATAGCAGTGTATGAGCAACTGCTAGATTATTCATAGTACATTGTAATGCTAGATTATTCATAGTACATTGTATGATTATGCTACAAGTAAACTCCTTTCACAGTCTCAGGAATACTTTACCTGGAGTTATTGGCAAGCATTTCAAAAAAGTAACTAAAAATTGAGCTAGATCTTGAATTAGAGTAAGAATTGGCAGGAAAGGAGAGCATTCCAAGAAGAGATGACTGTACACTGACGCTGGAGGTCAGGCAGTCTCAGTAATAAGATGCAGTAGGTTGTGCTTGGAATGTTGGGCATGCATCAAGAATATTAGGAAAAGAACTCAAGGCACTGGGGTATGAGTACCTCTTATTTTTCTAAGAATATTTCTCACTTATTAACAATTTTTGTGTATATACAGCGTGTCTGAATCATATCCAACCCAAATCCTTCCACCTTCCTCCCACCCCATGAATGTGTCTTTGTAGTGATTTATATTGTATAGGACTGAGAATTAAAGGTTTTATCTGTTTCTTAATGTGTTTTGATCAAGAATATACCTAAGTGGTTGTGTAAAAATACTGGTACAGACAGACATATAGAAAGCTAATGTAAATCTAGTCCATATTGGGAAAGTTCTGAATTATGGACTAGAATAGAAAAGAACATGTTAGATAGGCATGTCTAATAAAATTGATAGTAGTTGATGTTAGATTAGGAATGGGAGTACCAGGAAGTACGTTGTCAGCAGTGGCTGAGACTTTGTACTTGAAAATGCTAACAAAGGTGAAAAATTCCTTAAGAATAAGTTGGCCTGGAGGAGATAAGGAATTTAATTTTCAGTAAATGAAATTTGAGATTTTTGCCAGTCATTTAGAGGGACATTGACTAATAGGTGACTGGAATTATGGATTAGAATGTCACATAAAATATTTAAGTGGAGACATAGTTAAGTATTAAGGCATAAAGTATCTCTCAAAGCATGTTGCTCAGTGAAATTCAAGTAATGGAGAATGGTAAACTAAATGATATAAAATATACCAAGGGTAGAATCCTGACCCAACGGGTGTGGGGAGCTGTCTCTCTCTCTCTCTCTCTCTCTCTCTCTCTCTCTCTCTCTCTGTTTGTGTGTGTGTGTGTGTGCGTGTCTACATATCTTTGCCCTATGTGGGAATGTGGGGTTGTTAAGAGCAGTTTTGAGAGAGATAGTTAGCGATACCCTGAAAAGAAAAATAGTGGTAAGATTTATGACATAGCTTCTAGAAGCCAAAGCTTATAAACTTCAGTTGTAGATATGTTTGGAGGGAGAAGGCAGAGAAATTTAGGGAAATTGCTGGGTCTCTTCTCTATGATCAGTCTTGAAAGTTACTTGGTGAAGGAAAGCTAGCACTGGACCTATGGAACGGCCTGAGAAGAATAATATTGTAAGTGTCCTATAGTCACAACGATGAGCAACAAGGGCATCTTAGAACTAGCATATGAAAGGGATGTTAATAGATACTAGTAAGAGATTATGATTTGTTAGGTGCTGTTTGGCATGACTGATGCTTTGTTATTGGGACTGTATTTTTCTGTATGAACCTGGATAGCATTAGAGGCTTGGATTGGTTCTGGTTTGTTGATTCAGAGTTAGCCACTAGGGTAAATTGTTTTGCATTGCTAAGAAAGTGAGTCAGTTGAAGGTACAGCAACTAGAATTGCACCTGTGCTCAATATTGGGGTTTAATCTTTGTAGGGAAGGAAATGAAGGCAAGAAGCTGATAGCAAGCTTTTTCCAATGTGATTGCTTTCAAAGGACTTCCTAGGCTGCAGTTCCTTTACTACAGCAGTGCTGAAAGGCTAGAAACAGCAAAGGTAGGTTAGAGACCCTGGCAGCTAAGAGTTTCTTGCCTCATGCTTAAAAGATGGTTTCTGGCTTGGCTAACCTTATTTCCTTTATTGCTTTTTCTGTTACAGGGTTAGTTTGAAAGTAAGGATTTGTCATATATTTTGTTTTTAGAAGTAACTTTAGCTTAGATTAAAAAGAGAAGGAATGGGGGTTGGGGATTTGGCTCAGTGGTAGAGCGCTTGCCTAGCAAGTGCAAGGCCCTAGGTTCGGTCCTCAGCTCCAAAAAAAAAGAGAAAGAATGAGAAATGGAAACTGGAAGGCAACATATTTTATCATCTGACTTTCTCAGTAGACATACAGACCTGTCAGTTGTGAGAATGTATTTTTTTTCATTTTGAATATTAATAAAGAAGGCACAAAAACTATTATATGGATCTACTTGGATAATTCTAGTGATAAATCCTACTCAGTAATTCCCTTATTTCAGCTAGCATTTTCTGAATGCCTACTATTTGTCAGGTCCTGGGCTAAAAATCAGGTTTTATAATGAAAAGAAACAAAACATACCTGTTGCCATGAAGCCTAGAATCTAGTATAGGGGCATATATATTAAGTAAAATAGTCAACACTGATGAGCAATTATAAATTAATTATGTAGGAAAAGAATATATTTCTGTGAGAAGCATAGGGTTAGGAGCAGCATCCCTAGTAACAGCACACTTAAGTTAGGATCTGAATGATGCATAGAAACAATAGGCCAGTTTGTATAAAAATGCTGTGACAGTGGAAAGGATGAAGATATCAAGGAATTAAGAGAAAACTTAAAGGGCTAGAAGGCAGAGGTCAAGGTGGAAAGTGTAGTGTAAAGTAATGCTTGAGAAATTGGAAACCAACTATGCAGTGCCTTGTAGGCACTTTACGAATATTAAAGAGTTTCAGGAAGGGCCAAAGACTAGATGTTCAAGGGTGTCATTGAAGCTATAGATCAAAAGATTGCAGGAGGACCAATAGAAGGAGACCTTTTAATAAACTGTAACAATATCTTTAACAAACTGTAACAATAACTATCTTGCAGTTTTCTCCCAGAAATTCCTCTTAATTCACTTGTTTTAGTATTTGCTATTTTAAATATAGTGAATCTTTCTTTGAATTCCATTAAATCCTTCCTGATTAATAGTTTTGAGGAAGGTAATTAAATAGTTTTGAAAAGTGATAGAACTTGGTAGGTAAGAAATGGCAAGTGAAAGACCAGCTGTGGTGTCATAGGTGACGTCTAGTGTTTTACCTTGTGTAAAATGATGTCAAGTGAAGCTGTTTTCTTAGGAACCATGTAAACATCTTGAGCTTTTTTTTTTTTTTTTTTTTTTTTTTTTTTTAAAAGTTTTTGGGCAGCATTGCCCTTTTTAGGCAGAAAGGATGTCATGGCCAATAAAGGGAGCAAAGGAGTACTTCAGCACTGCCCCCATGGGAAGCATAACCCCCCCCCTTCCTGCTTCCCCCATGTAACTTTTTGCTTTTTTTTCAGTTTCATATGATCATTAGGTAGAGCAGTCATGACAGTGGGATTTAATGTTATTTGGTTTTCTTATACTCATGATATCAGACTGGAAAACAGAAGGTTTGATGCTTGTTCAGTCACCAAGCTTATGGTTTCTCAGTGGTGTTACTTTTCAAGACCATATGCAACCCAAGATGGGATCATATGTGACCTCTTTATTTACTGCCCCACTCCACGTGCCACTCCCTGTATTCTTTCTACAGTTGTATTATGTCAGAACTATTAACTGTTCTACCCCAAAGGATTTTTTATTTACATACAGCTTTTCCCACATTATTAATGTGAAGGAGTAGTTCCTGTAACCAGCACAGGCTGCCTGTCTCTATGAAGACTCTGAAACTCAGGTTGAGATCCAACTTAGTTGTAATGCATCTCACATATGTGATTATACCAGTATAAATACCTTGCAGTTTTCTCCCAGAAATTCCTCTTAATTCACTTGTTTTAGTATTTGCTATTTTAAATATAGTGAATTTTTCTTTGAGTTCAATTAAATCCTTCCTGATTAATAGTTCTCAAGTAGGAAACACTAAAGATTATAGTAGGAAAGAGATATTTTGATTGTTCACAAGTTCAGTTCATTTTCATTATCAAATGCAGGTGGAATTATTAGCAGGCAGTTGATGAGAGGTTGGTCTATAAGTACAAGCCTTGCTAAAGGTAGTAAATTTGGAAGATTTTGAAGCTATAATCTTGGATGAGAATATTCAGGGGAGATTACAGAATAAAATAAGAAGGCTTGAACCTTTAAAATCTCTAACAGTAGGTGGTTCGATGATCCTGCAGAGAGAGTCTGAAAGAGACCAGAAAGGAGGATAAAAACCAGGAGTGCAGGCATGTGACATTCAAGGACAGAGGGCTTTAGGGAGGGCAGAGGAGCTCCAGTGCTGCCATGATGTCAAGTACACATTTAAAATGCCCCTTGGAAAAGATGTAATCCCAGCACTCAGATGGCAGAGATAAGAGTATCCTGGGGTACTGAATGAGTTCCAAGCCATCCTGGGCTATTACATAGTGAGACATTGTCTCAAAAAGCAAGAGTACCTGTTGTATTTAGTGACATGGGAACTAAATAATGGGAACTTTAGCAAAAGCAGTTTCCATAGGACAATAAGGTAGAAGCCTATTTGAAGTGGGTCAGAGGTGAACAGGAGTTAGAAACCAGAAATAGCAAGTTTAGAAATTGACTATGTATTAGTTACTTTTTCAGTACTATGCTAAACTACTTGACAAAAGCAACTCATTATTATAATTTGGTGTTTTTTTTTTTTTGGGGGGGGGGGGGGGGGGGGCTCAAATTTCAGAATATAGTCCATCATAGTGAGCAAGTCGTGGTGGCAGGATTTTTAGACAGCTGATCACATTTCATCTGAGGTCAAGAGGGGACAGGGGCTGGAGGGAAAGAGGGGGAAGAGAGAATGAATACATATATTCTACAGAATGGAAATACATTACTGTTTTGAAAATTAATTTGAAATGTTTTAAATAACATAGATTTTGCTTTGTTACATTTATTTTTACATTTCAGGGAGGTTTCACACAAATGGAATCCTAAACAAATAGGTGAACATCTTCTATTGAAAGGGTAAGTTTCAAAAATGGCACTAGAAAGTTTCATTAACTTATAGTGTTAGAATTGAAAAAATTCTTATTTTTTAATATAGTGAAGGAAATTAGAGTGATAGGGATAGGTCTTCTAAGGACAAGTCACATAGGACTTAGGGGTAAATTCTGAAATACATGTGATATTTAAAATAATTCTTATTCATTTCAAAGGTAAGAATCACGGTTAATTATTTTTACTTTTGACCATAGAAAGTTAGCAGAGGTCTTCAGTTTGTTTTAGCCAGTTGGTGTTGGTATGTGTAAACATATATGTATGTGTGAGTGTTTATGTATTTGGTTTGCATATGGAGGCCAAAGGATGACGTCTGACGTTTCTCCTCAAGTGCCAGCAGCCTTGCTTTTTAAGACAAGGTCTCTCACTGGGACCTGGAGCTCACTGATTAGACTACCAGTAAGCCTCAGAGATCTACCTACTTCCCCCTGCCCAGCACTGAAATTACAAGTGTATGTCACCATGCCTAGCTTTTATATAGGTGCTAGGAATTGAAAACTCAGGTCTGCATGCTTGCATGGCAAGCACTTTACACACTGAACTCTCTCTCCAATCCCTTAACAAAAATTTCTGCTTTGGGTTGAACATCCAAGCCAAACTTGTGAAGTCTTCAAAATCCAAAAGCTTTGAATGCCCAGTATACCTTAAATGCCTTGAATTTCTCTACCCTGACCCTATTTAATGGAAAAGAGAGTGTCAAAATGTAGAGTGTACAAAATACAGAAAATATTTTGTAACATTGTCAGACTATGTGTGTAAAATAAGTGTAACACATAAATTAATGTTGTATCCAGAGTTGGGTCCCAGTATTATTTATATGCAAATATTCCAACATCAAAAGCACATCTACTCTTAAGCATTTCTGATGGAAACGATTCTAAACCTGTATTTTACTATTGAGCAAAGCTGTGAATGTATATGTCAGTGAGGAGCAAACTCCATAGTCACATGAATATGTAGTTAGTCCCAGCACTTGGGAGGCAGAGGCAGGTGGATCTCTGTGAGTTCAAGCCTTCATAGTGAGTTCTAGGCTGGTTGGGCTACAGGGAGACCCTGTCTCAAAAAAAAAAACGGAAAATGTAGTTCTGAAGGTACATGATGGTTTACTCTTTTTAGTTTTTTTTTTTTTTTTGAAGATTGTGAATTGGAAATCCAGGACCTTGCTGGCTCCTTCTATGGAACATTCCAGCACATAATTACTTAGTAATGTTCCATTCACCCTAAAAGCCACTGCTTACCAGAACGTGGCTTCTAAGGGTTAGATAAGTCCCATAGCCTTGATAAGATTTTAGTTAACTATATTTTTCAGGGTTGCAAAATTGTACCATCGCTGTAGTGATGAGGAAACAGTTTTGCAAAGCTGTACAATATTGTTTTTTAATAATAAAAAGGAACTTTGCTCACAGTTGAAGGTTGACTTAGTTCCGCTGGATGGAAAATCTAGAACTAGAAGATGATAAGATAGCGGCATAAAGCATTCTTGCTCAGGTGCCACTAAGACACCAGCCTGTGGAGTGGATTTAAGTCCTAAATTTTAAGAAACACATTTGCAGGCAGCACTATTTACAGATAGATGTCCAAGTCGTGAATTCTAAATGGATAGGCATTCTGCTGGAAATGCAATCTATTTTTTGGCAGACTGGCCTTGTATTATTATTACTTGATTTTTTCATCTCTGTTCAGTAAGGCACTCAATATTTTATGTTTCTGAAGTTCATACTACTAGTCCCAAATTAAGTTGAAAACTTTTTACAAGGATAGTTTTAGCTTAAATGTAAATTATGTGACTATGTTAGAATAGTTCTTAAAGTTTTGATTTAAGCATCTTGTTTTGGTGTGCTGATTTGAATTTAATTTCTACAGCCTTACGTATATGGTGGCCATGCCTTTTTACTCAGCAAGCCTGATTGAAACAGTACAGGTGAGCTATGCCTTTATTGTAATTTGTTTGGTTAAATATTTTTGGAATATTCGATATGCTATGTATAATATATGAAATAATTTAAAATATATACATAAATATGTATAATACTCTATACATAGTATATATAATGATTTAAATGTTTATTTCACAGATGAATATCTTTACCACACATTGCTAGTATGACTGTTTCCATTGCAGACTTTGGTCACACTTTTTGCTTTAATTATTTTTCTCCCTTCCATAAATAATACTTTTCTCTCAGATATCTCAGAACCCAGTCTACAATTTAGAGTACAAAGACTATAACCAGCGTTCTTTTAAGGCACTAAATATAACTCAGATGCTTATGGCTTATCATAGGAGAGGACATGAATAATAATAAGGTAAGTATAATGAGTAATCATCCTGAGCAAGTAGGTGGTACCCACAGGTAATTTACTAACAGCATTCCTTATACATGTGCCTTGTGAACAGTATCCAGTGTTGAAGCCATAAATAAGTACAAAGCAGAAAGCATTTAAATTCTGCTTGCTTGCTTTACTATTTCTAGCCACATGGTGGTGCTTCAAGCACATTGAATTAAATTTCATAGCCTCACCATCCTTCCTTCATTTAAAACTGTAAAATTAGTTTCCAGTTCCTATTGTACAATCCAAAAGGGAAATATTTTAGTCCCCTGGAATTTCAAAATCATTGGCAAACACAAAATTCTACAGCCTGTGTAGCCTCTAAACCCCCATACTAAAACTGTCCATTATATGACCTCCTACTGATGATGCTTTATCACTGTGCTGATTAGTTTTATGTCATCTTGACACAGTCTAGAGTCGCCTGAGCGGAGAGTCTTAAAGAAGGTTTGCACTTCAGGCATGCCTGTGAGGGACTTTTTATTTGGGTTGATGGAAGTGGGAAGGCCCACCCTGGTGTGGATGCCATTGATGAGGAAAAGAAAGATAGGCATGCATTTAGCGTCATGCGTGTAATGTTGCTTTATGGCTGATTTTATCATGTAGAATATGGTAATGACCTTGGCAGTGGTTTTATAAATGCTTACTAAAGTTTATATTGAAAAAAGAATGAAAACTAGAATGGAGAACAAAGTCCTAAGAAATAAATACCACATTTGCCTAGTCGAACACCTGTATGCAACCATTCCTTTTGCTAAAGCACCTGTAATAAAACTCTTGAAAAGAAACTGGAAGATTAAAGTAATTTCAACCACTTACACAGTTCAACTGCTTGTCCACCTTGTCTTCTGTTTTCAGCACGAGATCCTCCAGCAATGGGTGCCCCTTGTGTCTTAGTGCCTGTTCTATATATTGCGTGCTGGGTCAGCCCTCCCCTTTTCTGTTCATCTCTTCTTCATTTTTTGTTCCCCACATTAATCTCTGATTTTGTTATTGTTGTTAGAACTAACTTTGGATGACTGAAATTAATATCTTGTGGCCTAGGCATATCCTTTCCTCTGGCATTTTTTGTGTTTAAATACCATTGTGTGGTATCCTAGTTTACAGAGTCAGCAGTTTAGAAGGTATTCTTATTTTAAAGAGAAGGAAAACATAGCAGAAAGAAAATTGTTTAAGGCAAAATAACTAATATATTGGGAAGCAGTTTTTTCTGGGGACAGAATAACCAAAATCACATTTGCTACTTAAATTAGATCTGTGACTTTAGACAAACTTTTTAACATTTTTAAATCGTAATTTTCCACAAAATAGGAATAATTTTAATAACTGAGTTTTTTACATTATTTATTTCTGTAAGTAACCAGATTGCTGTACTAGATTTTCTGTGTTCTTTTTTCTTTCTCTTCTTTTTTCCTGTGCTTTAACCCATACCCTCATATGTCATCCATGCCTGACTCATTCGCATTCTCCTTTTGACTCCTTGTCTGTTCTTGACAGACTTTTCTGTACTTTCTTAGATTGCCAGCTTGGCGAGTATCACTTTAGTCTCCTCCTTCCATCACTTCTTGCCTTGCACCTAAAGGTTCAGTCCTGGGCACTCTGATTTTCATCTTCCTCTCAGGTCTGGGGAGATTTCATCTCAGCCTCACGTCTTCAAGCAGCCTCATTATCCTGAATCAGCTTCTCCCTTCTATGACTGCTACTTTATTACCTTAGTTTTACTTTTAGGGAAGTTTTGTTGATCTGGAACTCGGTGTATAAACCAGGCTGGCCTCGATCTCATGGAGATCCACCTGCCTCTGCCTCCCAAGTGGACCACCATACTTGGCCTTTTGCTCTATATGTTTGATTGTACTAACTTATCAGTCTCTTCTCACCAGTAGACATTCCTCCTTTCCGCATATGAGCTTGTTACAGTACCTTGTTCCTGCTGTAAGCTCTGTGTTGACAGACTTATGAGGACCCTAGATCTCCTAGAGAACATCGTTTTTTCTTGAAAGTATATACCTCTCCAGAAGAACCCCTAACTTGAAACCCTTGAATAGGGATTCCTAGTGATTTGTTTCTTTATCCGTATCCTGGAGTCCAATCTATGTGTACTTGAAAGGTTAGTGTGAAGTATTGAATAAAGTTCATACTGCCTTGCAGCCCTACAACCATTTTCAGCCTTTTCACCATAGCATTATATCAAGCTTTTTATCAGCTTTTCTTTTTCATCTCATTTTCTTTAATTACATTTAACATTTTTTTAGTTCATCAAATATTTATTGAATGCCAGCCTGTATCAAAGAATGTTATAAATCCTGGGAATACAGTACCAAGCAAACCTGATAAATACTCTGCCTTCAGCAGCACTTATGTGCTTGTACAAAAGATAGAGAAGAAATATCTAAGATATATTAGAAAGTAGTAAGTGTTAAAGAGAGCAAAAATAAAGCAAGGAAAACCTCACTGAGAAGATACTTGAAAAGTGTTGAAGTGAATAAAGACAGAGAACGACATGACTTTCAAAGAATGCTTTCGGCAGGAGGGAAAAGCAAATCCAAAAACCTTTAAATGGGATCATATCACCTGGTTTGAGCAGTAAAAAAGAGAAGTGGTTCTAAGCAAGGGAGGAAACAGGCTAGGATGCTCGTCATTAGAGGGGCCCGATGGTGATAATGGAGGACACTGTGGTTCATTATAAGGATTTAGGACTCTAAAGAGATGGTGGATTTGAGCAGAGCAGTGATGTAGTCTGATTTATCTTTACTAGAATCTCTGTGGCTGTTGTCTTACAAATAAGTGGGAGTAAGAAAGGGCCTACAATCGTCAGCAGCAAAGTGGATGAGTGGGCCAGGTAAACTCATTTTAGCCTCATGATTTTATGTTTTCTGAAGACTAGCACATTTCTCTCTAGCTTGGATCTTTTTCTTATAAACTGGATTGATACTAAAATTCATGAACTCTTGGTTTTCTCTCATCTCTTAATATTTATTATTTTATATGTGAGTATATTGCCTACATGTATGTAAATGCACCTGTGTTGTGCAGTGCCCGTGAAGGACAGAAGAGGGCGTTGGATCCCCTGGAACTGGAGTTACAGATGGTTGTTAGCTGCCATGTGGGTGCTAGGAATCAAACCTGGGTCCTCAGTAATAGCAGCCAGTGCTCTTAACCACAGAGCCATCTCTCCTAGCCATGTTGGTCTTTTCTCTTAAATTGCCATTCTTTCAGTATTTCCTCTACTCAATAAAAGCAGTGCCTTTTACTTTTTTTTTTTTTAAATTTATGTGTATGCATGTTTTGCCTGACGTATTTAAGAGCACTCATGTAATGCAATGCCTGAAGAGGCCAGAAGTAGGCATTGGATCCCCTGGAACTGGAGTTACAGACTGTTGTTAGCCACCATATGAGTGCTGGGAATAGAACTGGGAGCAGCCAGTGCTCTTAACCACTGAGCCATCTCTCTAGCTCCATACTTCCTTTGCCTTTTCTTTGAGAAAAAGTTTTATGTAGCCCAGGCTGGCCTGGATCTCACGATGTAGCCAGGGATGGCCTTGAACTTTTCTGATCCTTCTGTTTCTACCTCCCAAGTGCAGGTATTACAGGTATGCACTACCACGCCTGGACTATGTAGAATTGGAGATCGAATCCAAGGCTATGTTCATGCTAGACAAGCACTCTACATACATACTGTGCTGTATCTCTAGCCCCTTGGTCATCCTTGACTCCTTCCTTTGATGATTCAGTACAGTAGTAATTCTTTGACTCTGATTTTAAAAGCACTGTCAGACTGGCTTACTGCCTTTGCTGCCTTCCAGAAGGCTAAGCCACCACCCATCATCACTGGATCCTCACAGTAACTTTCTGACTACAGATCTCAGTTTCTGCTTTTGTCATTCTTGTACAGTAGACAGCATTATTTTAAAACATAAATTTTATCACATTCTGCTTAAAACTAAGCAGTTATTACCATCTGACCACAAACTAAATCTACGCAGTGGTCGGATCACATAGCATGGCTTTATCTGCCATCTTAACTTCGCATTCCTTGTTCTTTGGTCATTGCTGCAGCCATGTTGGGCATTTAGCTCTTTAGATGCTGTACTCTCTTATCTCATAGACGTTATTCCCAAAAATGAAAGCACAGGTATTTCAGGTGATGTGAGTCTTAACAGTTACTGAGTGCATAGTGGTACAAGACATCTTTTTTATTTAATGTAGCACTGCATACATGATAGATTTGTACTGTCTTCTGTGTTTATAGCATACTGAACTAATGATTAGGAGACCCTAAGTAAATTAACAGCTGCTACACAGCCAGTAAGTAGTGTAGACAGGATTTTAATTCATGCCTTAGGGGTCTTTATGCCCTCTGCTGCCTCCTTAGACATCAGGTTGTTGCTTTGGAGGGAGGGAGGGAAGAAGGGAGGGACGGCGGGCTAAGGAGCTTGTTGAGATTGAGGAGAATGGATGAGCGAGGTGCGCTCCTCCCCATCTCACTTCTGCAATAAGAGCAACTCTCAGCTTCCTTGCTGTCTTTTTTTACAAGATTTCCTTTGGTTTGGTGGGGGGGCTTCCTTTGAAGGAAGCTAATCTAATATTGATCTATTCTGACAGCTGGAGTCTGCAGACCACTGGTGTTTTCCTTCTTGGCAAAAGAATTTAAAAGCGATCTAGTAAATAGTACTTTTAGTTGCAGTTTTTTTAAAGATGTTTGACCTATTTCATCATTTTTGTTTCAGAGTGAGATAATCCGAGATAATACTGGCATACTTGAATGTGTCAAAGAAGGAATTGGAAGAGTGATAGGCTTGGGGGTGCCTCACAGCAAGCGACTCCTTCCGCTGTTTTCCTTGATCTTCCCTACAGTGCTGCATGGAGTTCTCCATTACATCATCAGCTCCATTATTCAGAAGTTTGTCCTACTACTTCTAAAGAGGAAGACTTACAGCAGCCACTTGGCTGAGAACACTAGCCCAGTGCAAAGTATGCTGGATGCTTACTTTCCAGAACTTATCGCTAATTTTGCTGCCAGCCTGTGCTCTGATGTTATCCTTTACCCATTGGAAACAGTTCTGCATCGCCTTCACATTCAAGGAACACGCACAATAATTGACAATACAGACCTTGGCTATGAAGTGCTTCCAATTAATACGCAGTATGAGGGAATGAGAGACTGTATCAATACCATAAAGCAGGAAGAAGGAGTGTTTGGTTTTTATAAAGGGTTTGGAGCTGTTGTGATACAGTATACACTGCATGCAGCTGTCTTACAGATTACCAAAATTATTTACGCTACACTTCTTCAAAATAGCATTTGAGATTTGGTTCTGTCACTGGATGATCTAGAGGACATGATCAGGATAATTTGCTGTGGAATTATAAGGGGTAAAAATGAAATGGCAGAGAAATGGGTAAAAGAAATGGACTGGGACATGTCCATGCTGATTATACCAACTTTTCATTTTTCTTAAGACATAGGGAATATATATGTATATATGTATATAAAAACAAAATTGAAAACTCAATAAAAAGAATTAAGTTTTAGTAAAACACTCATGCTGAAGTAAAATTGATCCTGGGTAGAAACAAAAATTTATCAAGTATAAAATGAAATTGTAATGAGTTGACTCTTCTACCTGACCTTATTCTTTGTTACATGTTTATTTTACCTTCCAGATTCAGGTTGGTATTTTATTTTTCATACAGTGTATGGCATTAGGGGTTTAATTGTATCTTCATTGAAAAAGACTGAGAATTAGATTTGGCAATCTGTAAGCCAAAGTTGAAAGATTTTAAGTTGTATTGTTCATGTATAACTATTTTAGTGGCTGTATATATTATATAAAGCCATTTGTGTGTGCACATTTGGAATTTCCTTCATCCCTGCAAATCCTCATAGACCAGCTTATTGCATAAAATGTTCTTAGACACTTTCTGCTTGAACATCAGTAGAACATCAAAAACACCAAAAAACTTAAGTGTTGCAATGGGAGAAACTTGGAATTTGGCATGTTTGTAAAGTTTGCTTTGCGAGTCTCTGATGTGGATCATCAGACTATTTTTAAAGCCACTTTTAAAGACATAAAATAATCATGACAGCCATTACTGTTTCCACATTTACAAACTGCTTACCTGAGGGATGTCATTTGCCTTTCATTTCTAAGAGACTTATTTTAGAGGAGACAGAACTAATTTTCACCTGGAAATTTGTGCCTCTTGCTTACTTAAGTAATGACTGCAATTTTTTTTCCCCCTAAAGTTTCATTCTCCAGACTACGTACACTGAAGGTAAAATGAGGATATCCTTGTCACTTTTTCTTTAAACTTGTTTGGATGAGTACTAAGAAAAGCTATAAACCTCAAAGGAAATTTGTATTTATGTTTTATGAAGGAAGAGGATAAATAATATATATCAACAAATAAAACTTGTTAATCATTTTAATAAAAAAGTTGGTATTTTCCTAAATTTAATTTAATGGATTAGGCACTGTAATAAGGTGATAGACATTTGACTGACCCACACATCAACCTGGGAAGTTTCATTACTTCACAAGGATGATCAGTTTTACAAACACAAACTGAAGTACAGTGCCTGCACATGTTGTCCAGCCTAGAATGCATGCAGACTGAAACTCATGTTACTTTTTAAATATCACATACATAGTTATTATGACTGACAGTGTTGGAATAAAAAATGGACATCCAAAAAGTATGAAATGACAAATGTAAGTATCACTATGCTCACCATCCTGTGTGTATGACTGACTGAATTATGTGTTTTCTGCTATTAAATAGTTTCTCTAATGGGAAAATAAATGCCATTGATTGTGCTATGTATTTTAGGATGACTCTTGAAACATTTTATTCTGTCCAACCTATGGGACTGAAATTGTTTAATATTAATGCTTTGGGGAAGCTACTTTTGTAGAGATTTATAGTCACCTTCCTAAAAGTCTCATTTTTATGATAAGATGATTTGAGAGGAGAAACCTGAAATTTTTGAATTTCAGAAAACGTATAGAGCAGTTTGAATGCTATCAAGTATTTGCTAGGGATAATACGTAGAATTCTTCATCTACCTACAAGTGAGGTATTTCAAGATTATTTGTTAGGAATGCTTATGAATTTAGTAAAATTTATTTCTTCAGGAGTTATAAGATGGAATTAAGCACAAGATTGGTCTTATTTACTGTTTCATTGCAGAAAGGGGATACAAATAAACTTGAAACCTGAAGTTGAAGAATGTTAAAATATTGTTTTTTTTACTGCCTTTCCAAATTTATTAAAATGTAATTTTTAAAAGTCAAACATATTTTAGCTGGTCAAACATTTCTTAATGAATTCAGAAAATAACAACCACTAGATCCATTCTTCTCTTTACAAAGATTGAAATTTTTCTTATGTGGAGGCCAGAATCTAGTATCTGTAGGTATGTTTCTTAAGATAATAGTAAAACAATAATACTATGTACATTTAATATGACAAATAACATCATGGATGTGATTCTACCATATATGGTTCCACAAGCCAGACTTTGTCTCAGGAACTTGTGAAGTTTTTCTTAGATGGCAGGGTTTCTTAATTTGAGTAAAATAGACTGAAAGTCGTTTAATTAAAAGCTGGTTTACATTATTAATTGATTTACTAAACTGTGTATGTAATCTTTCCTGAGATATCCTTCTGAAATTTATCATGGGTCCTTACAGTCCCTGGGCTTATAAAGTTACTCAAGCCTCTAAATTCTCAACACTATATGTTCGGAAATGCTAAAAGCAGGCTAATTTGTGGAGGGTTCTGGGTTGCTGTGTCTGGTGTCTTAGCCAGTACTTTGCACAGAGAAACTGGAGAGGTGGGGCATCTTGCTCACTTTCCAGATGTGTTTTACTATACATAATGACCTCCGCAACAATGACTTTATTAGAACTTTACAAAACATTCACTTAAAACTGCACAAATTCAAGTTTCTACCAAACAATTTGTGTTTCGAAAAGAAAATGCTTTCAGTTGTTTGTCAGCTGAGATGGTGAGGATGTCTGATAGCTGTTTGGGTATGGGTGTTGCAGAACACAAAACACTATTCTGGCAGCCTTTACAAAGATAACCAGGCTGAAGTATTTTCAAAACCTAGATAAGCAAATAAGACCCTTTGGTGGCAGTTTACATTGCTTTAGAAGTGAGTGCTCTGCTGATGGCATTTCTGCTTCTGGTTGGTACTTGGACATCCATTTTCATGCTCTCCCTCACTTTCCCTTTTCCTCCCTCTCCCATGTCTATCTTCTCCTTCCGCTTCTTCTCCGTCCCCCACTCCCATGCCCCTAAACTGCGGAGGTAATATCCTTGGAGTCATTTTTGTTACTATAGTACCAAATTGTATAGCAGAGTAATAAAAATTTGTGATTGGACAGTGAATCTTACAGGATATTACCTCAGCCAGAGAGGATGTTTAGAAGCGTTTGTCTTTTGGTTTTGGTTTGCTACCATTTTAAATGCTTTAGGTGGTAAATTATGTAATATAAAAAGTTCAATAAATGTTGAAATAAAACCGTATATTTCTCTTTGTTACTAAAGGACTACTTGGGTAGGGATAAAAGATGATTTTTTGAAGTTTTTTGGGGTTTTTTAAGGTAGGAATGAAGATCAAGGAAGAAAAAAATGTATGTGTAGTTGAACTTGCCACACATTTAGGAAAACCTCTAGCATAAAAACAGTAGTCCCAGTGAATGAAATCTTGCAGAGGACCCAGGTTCAATTCCCAGCACCCACATAATGGCTAACAACTGTAACTCCAGTTCCAAGGGATCCAACACTTCATTTTGACCTCTACAGGCAGTGCACAGCACGGGTGCACTTACACACATGCAACAATACACTCACAAAAAAAAATTAAAAAGATTTCATTTAGCCTTAAAATATCCCTTTTAATTCCCTACCCCCAAATAAAGCTGTATTGAGGTTTGGGCTTCAGTGTATGTTTTTCTGTGGGAGAAGGGATGATCTAAAGATGGAATTCAGGGCCTTGCACTGCTGAACTATAATCTTTTTCTTGACTGATTTTTTTTTTTTAAATTTTCAGATAGAATCTTGCTAAGTTGCTTAGACAGGCCTTGAATTTTTGTCCCTTCTGCCTTAGGCTTTGGAGTAACTGGGATCACAAGCCAGAGCTACTATGAATGATCAATGTATGGATTTGGGGGAGGCATGATTCATTCCATAATAAGTGGCAATTTGCCTTGTTAAAAAAAAAATCACTGAGATATGTGGTTTCCTGTTTCCCTCTGCTTTGTGAACTGAAGCCATGAGGGTGGCTGGCTGTTGCTGGGTGTGCTTCTTGGGTTTTGTTTGCTGATTTACGCCAATGAAAACTTGCTTATAGAATATTCTGAATTTTGGTGTCATGTCCAAATTAGAAGAGTACCTTTTGTGGATGAGCTGTTCCCCCAGCTTTGTGAGTTGTATCTAGGGACTGGCTGCTCTGTAAGCAGAATCCTGCCTGACTTCTTTGAATTCATTTATCCTGTTACCTCTTGTGGCATCAGGACACAATTTTTTCCATGGGACACCCTGTTCGAAAGTTCAATCATCTATGAACCAGTGATTTTAAAAATCAGAGGTTATGCTTCAGTATCCTGTTCTGTCCAAAGAAAGCTTATATTCACCTTTACAGAAAAACAGGTGGAAACTAGTTTATATGGGCAAACAAACCAAGGACCATTGCCAATAAACTCAACATCTCAAGCACAAAGTTTGGGGGTTCAACCAGGATGTCCATCGAGGACTCTTGTTTCTTCGTTGGACTATAATTTTTCTTCATCCTAGGTGGATGAATGGAGCTATAAATGTGGATGATTAAGGCAGCCTTAATAACCATGATATCAACTATCTGATGACACCTCTTTAAAGTTGGAGGAATGCCAATGCATGTCCACTTTTTTAACATGAGTTTGCTCTTCTGTATGTTTATTTACTCTTTGGGTATGTAAAAAGAACTTTCTCAAACTTTAAAAATTGTAAACTGGCAATTTTTTTAGAAATGAAGTTTTCGAATTAGAAAAAATACTGAAGCTGCACGTCAACAAAAGGGGCTTTAATGGCATAGCCCTCTTGTAGCGGGGATCTGAAAATGTTATATACCAAATAAATTTTAAAGAGATTTGAAAAAAAAAAGTATAGTTGATGTGGCACACAAGACAAATCTGTTTCCAAAGTAAACATTTACATTATATTTTATAAAAGTCTTATTCCTCTTCACAACAGCCCTGAGGCAGTATTGGAATAGTGCTGTTTGGAAAAATAATTGTAGAAAGTTGTGACTTGCCCCACATTAAGCACTGTCAGATTGACAGCACTGAAATGGCCAATTCCTTAAGGAACTGTGGTATAAAGAGCAGAGACGGGCCTGGAGAGATGGTTCGGGGGTTAAGAACACTGTTCTTGCAGAAGAGGCAGGTTTGAATCCCAGCACCCACATGGCAGCTAACAGCTGTCCTTAACTCCAGTTCCAGGGCTCCAACGGCCTCTTCTGTCCTCCATGGGCATTGCACAGCATGGGTACACTTACCTACAGGCAGGCAATGCACACATACACATAAAATAAAAATAATAAAATATTGTTTAAAAAATAAAGAGCAGAGGGAACTAAAGACCAGCTGAGGGAACGAAATAGACAAGAGCACTGACAGAACATGAGAGCAAAACCAAAAGCTGACTAAAAGTCAAAAATTAAGAAAGGGTACATTGCTACTGACTTAGAAATAAAGCATGAGTTAAAGGAGAGTGCTATAAAAAACCAGATGCCAGATTTGATACCTATGTGAAATGGACAGATTCCTAGAAACAAACTCCAACAGGCACAAGAAGAAATAGAAAATCTGAGTAGACATGATAAGGTTGGATCAGTTTAAAACCTCAGCATAACCCATGACTAGTTTCGTTGGTAAAGTCTACCAAACAATTTTTCTAGGCACATTTGGCCTACTTGAGGATGTGGAGAAAGAGGAATGCTCATTCACTGCTTGTGGAAATGCAAACTTGTGCAACCACTGTGGAAAGCAGTGTGGAAAACTCTTAAAAAATTGGAAATTATCAGCTAACCCTTAGCAGCTAACAACCATCCTAACTTGAGCTCCAGCGGCTCCAATGCCCTCTTCTGATCTCTATGGCATTACACCATACAGGTGCACTTACATACATGCAGGCAATACATTCATACACATAAAATAAAAATAATAAATATAATATTTAAAAAAATTAAAAATCAGCCAGGCATGGTGGTGCACACCTTTAATCCCAGCACTCAGGAGGCAGAGGCAGGCGGATCTGTGTGAGTTCAAGGCCAGCCTGGTCTACATAGTGAGTTCCAGGACAGCTGGGGCTACAGGGAGACCCTGTCTCAAAAAGACCAAAAAAAAAATTAAAAATCAATATACCATATGATCCAGTTGTATCACTCCTTGTCATACACCCAAAGTACACATCCTACTGTATAGAGATACCTGTACATCATGTTTGTTGCTGCTCTTTCCATAATAGATGAAAATGGAAACAACCTAAATTTCCCTCAACTGATGTATGGATAATGAAAATGTGGTACATTTACACAATGAAGTTCTGTTCAGCAGTAAGGAAAGACAAAATTATGAAATTTCCAGGTAAATGGATGGAACTAGAAACTCTCATACTAAGTGAGTCTCATACAGACTCAGAAAAGCAAGTGACATATGTTCTCCCTCATTTGCGGATCTTAGTACTAATCTATATGTAAGTATATATTGTGATATAAGAGCAGGACCCGGGAAAATGGAAAGGAAACATGGAGGTAAAGGGAAAGAAAGAGCCCAAGAAA